ACAAAGTATTTAACATGTAGATAAATAACAAGATGACTAAAACAAGGTCGTTTAAGAGCGGATGGAAGTGATGTTTGAATGTTTTAGTAGATTATAACTATTGTAATTAGTGAAAGAGAAATGCCACGGCAAGACCGGGACTCGAGTCCGGGACCTTCCGAACTCTAGACGCACGCTCTACCAATTGAGCAACCTGGTCATCGACGATCGACCCAGTCTAGTTCGGCTACATTCCTCCCTCCCTTTTCAAAGTTCACGCCCCCAAAGACACAACTATTTACAACCAAGGCTCATGTTTGCCATTGCCAAGCATTCAACAAGTGCTTGAAACAAGGGTAGGCAAGCTCGCCAATTTTACGATAGGAGAACGAAAAACCCAACGGCCAGACTGGGATTCGAACCCGGGACCCTCCGAACTCTAGACGGACGCTCTACTATTGGAGCTACATGTACCTGGTTGCTGCTGATCGACCAAGTCCAGTTCCGCTACATTAGTTACACGGTCCAAAAATATCTCACAGTCCGATATAGGTTACCAGCTAATGTCGCGTGGAGCAATAGAGAAATGGTATATTTACCATATATGCCAGGCGCAGACCCGGGATTTTCTGGAGAAGGAAGGATGGTGTCCAGAGGCAGAAAGCCGTCGTTTGGTTTCAAAACAAAGTTTATAAAAATCATGAAGTTCAAATACTGACCGTCGCTCTGTCCAGATATCATTGACCTGTCCACGCTGTGCGGTAGCCGGATCACTTAGGTATGTAACACAGAAATCCCTCTGAAATCTTGCACATGTACATAAAAAACCATACTGTTATGTGGTGTGATGTTGTGAATGTAATATTACGTTATAAGTATTGTTTATGTTTGTAGTTTTAGAATACGGCTTCTAGTCAAAGTTTACATGTTTACGTAACCCCTGGAGTTTCGAAAATGTTGTTTGACAAAGAGAAACATATTTCACTGCCAGGAGGTCAGTGTTGTTAAATGTATCATCTTAAAACATAACTTTCATATCGAACAATACTTGCACTACATCGATTGTGTATTTTGTTCCAACATAATATATAAGTTTTGATATCGTCTGATGAGCTAGACACATTGATTTGATATCGTCTGATGAGCTAGACACATTGATTTGATATCGTCTGATGAGCTAGACACATTGATTTGATATCGTCTGATGAGCTAGACACATTGATTTGATATCGTCTGATGAGCTAGACACATTGATTTGATATCGTCTGATGAGCTAGACACATTGATTTGATATCGTCTGATGAGCTAGACACATTGATTTGATATCGTCTGATGAGCTAGACACATTGATTTGATATCGTCTGATGAGCTAGACACAATGATTTGATATCGTCTGATGAGCTAGACACAATGATTTGATATCGTCTGATGAGCTAGACACATTGATTTGATATCGTCTATTGAGCTAGACACAATGATTTGATATCGTCTATTGAGCTAGACACATTGATTTGATATCGTCTATTGAGCTAGACACAATGATTTGATATCGTCTATTGAGCTAGACACATTGATTTATTATCGTCTGATGAGCTAGACACAATGATTTATTATCGTCTGATGAGCTAGACACATTGATTTGATATCGTCTATTGAGCTAGACACTTTGATTTATTATCGTCTGATGAGCTAGACAAATTGATTTGATATCGTCTATTGAGCTAGACACTTTGATTTATTATCGTCTGATGAGCTAGACACAATGATTTCATATCGTCTATTGAGCTAGACACAATGATTCGATATCGTCTATTGAGCTAGACACATTGATTTATTATCGTCTGATGAGCTAGACACATTGATTTGATATCGTCTATTGAGCTAGACATAATGATTTGATATCGTCTGATGAGCTAGACATAATGATTTATTATCGTCTATTGAGCTAGACACAATGATTTGATATCGTCTGATGAGCTAGACACAATGATTTCATATCGTCTGATGAGCAAGACACAATGATTTGATATCGTCTATTGAGCTAGACACAATGATTTGATATCGTCTATTGAGCTAGACGCATTGATTTGATATCGTCTGATGATCTAGACACATTGATTTGATATCGTCTATTGAGCTAGACACATTGATTTATTATCGTCTGATGAGCTAGACACAATGATTTCATATCGTCTATTGAGCTAGACACAATGATTGGATATCGTCTGATGAGCTAGACACATTGATTTGATATCGTCTATTGAGCTAGACACAATGATTTGATATCGTCTGATGAGCTAGACACAATGATTTGATATCGCCTCCTGCGCTTTACAAATTGCTTTGATATTGTCAATTGAGCTAGATCGATGATTTGATATCGTCTCTTGCGCTATACAAATTGATTTGATGTCGTCTGATGCACATGTTCATGCACATGCGGTGTAGTGAACGTATAAAATAAATTTTAATTAGAGTTGCACTCCTTGATTAAGACACATGACTACACACTAGCAGGGGTAATACAAGCACGTGTTTTGTCATAGAATTTACGTAACTACAGTATACATGTACACAAAAGCATTGTCTAAGATATATGTGCCTCCGACCGCAGTTTTAACCGTCTACAAAATGTCGCGGTGGAAGCGGAAAGTTAGAACGGCAACTGGAATTACTTATCTTTCACCTAACATGTCTATTATTAAGTGAGTTCTCTGTCATAAATATGTCTTGCGTCACCGCTGTAGGAAGGAATTTGATTATTTCTACGCCAAGAGCACCTGAGCTTTCTTTATAAATTAATATACTATTCGAAAGAAATATGATATTTTCTTATCAATTTATAAATTTCGAAAAATAAATCCGCTGAGGTATAGAAAAGAGATACAGAATACCAAAGACGTTGTATTTTACATGTCTCTGAGAATACCGAAGTATAATTCGAATTCGACATCGATAACGAAAGAAAAATATGAACGTGAGGAATATCAGCAGAGACTATTTTTGGTTAACTTGTCGTGGTATGTTCATTCAAAATATGTATAATCTGGAATGGTGACCCCGCACCAGGTAGCAGTTGTGTGTTAAATCCTGGAAAGGATTTGAAATCATTTATTAATGTAATCTTTCTATGTAAGTTGTACTTGTTTTCAAGAAGTGTATATCTGCTATACATTGAATTATATTCCATGAAGGGCACACAATTGTTTCTATCGACGTGTCAAGTACACAAACCAACAACCCCACCGTTGACACGTGCCTCGGGTATATGGAGGTGCTATATTGTATGGTATTCAAGCGGTTCCGGGTCATTTTGTCCAATTACTAGTTTACCATATTACTAGTATACACATCGAAACACGTTTTATTGTATCTTACAAGATTTAGCCATTGCTGTAAAATATGTATGCGAATCAGATCTAGTTGTTAACTTATTATGTAAAACACGATATTATGTATAACACATCTTTATGTATAACACATCTTTATGTTTAACACCTATATCCATGTACAGAAATAACCATAAGCAAATCTAGAGATGATTAGATTGTATATTTTACAAACGCCTTTGTATACTGTATTCGAGGTGACCCGCCCCAGCAATGTTTCACTCCTCAAATCCTTTTTCAAACATGTACATAGTACTCTCATGTACAACTAGCAGAGATGTTCGTTCTGCTTTTAATCTAATATGGAGGATAAGGTACACAAGTTTTAATTGGATCTTGAAGACATTGAAATGTAGGTCTCGAAGTCCGTGGTTAGTCTTTGTCCATTCAATATGACGTGGATAACGAATTTAATTTGGGATTAAAATGCCTCCTTCAACGAGCTTAGAAACAGAGACGTTTATATAACAGAATCTAATATTGTGAAAACCTCTGTCTACACAACAAAATTCATCACTTTCTTTATCGTATGGTTACAACAGTTGGACCAGAGACGTATATTACGTAATATACATCTCTGGTTGAACCAAAAGTTTCCTGACGTCTACATTTCCTCACTAATATTGCAGAAAACAGGAAATGTCACCTCGGGTTAATGTCGGGAGTGAGGGTTTACTGTATTGTTAATCATAGTCAAAGGATTCTAAGCATTAATTTCACTATGTTTCCATTGTACATGCAAGTAAAGCTTAATATGTTAAACAAAGGATAATCATTGAAGAAACCTTAAAGTCAATTGTACTAAAATAACAGTCCCGGGTGATACCGACGAGATTCTTCAACTTACATTAAGAGCCACATAGAAGAGCTTCGTTCCTTTGACGTAAGGACTACAACACAGAAGACATCACTTTCAAAAGATGCCCCACCCCCTTTCAAAATCCTTTAACGAGAGACATATATACTATACCAGTGCATATACTACGAAGATACTGGTTTTGTACGCCTCTGGTTTAACCGCCCCTATGAAACTGTACTATATAATTGTCTGATCAGGGACGTATACGTCTCTAGTCTGATGTACTGACAAAAAAAAACACGATAGCAAAATGTTTAAGGCAAAATAAGATCCAGTACATGCGGTGTACGGCGTGGGCTCGTGCTTTACTGAAATGAAGATGCTCAGGGTAGAAGTATGAAGTACCGGTGGGGGATGGTGCACCCCCGCTGAGCTAAGGCCACCCCTGATAGCGGTCATGGTTCGCATTATGCTACGTTTACATTATGTTCCGGTAGCGACGGCAGTCCCGTTTTCCCAAGTCTGTCACGGTATCCGTGACAGGCCGTGGGGGGAAAGGGGCTGCTGAGTCCCGGAGGCTCCAAGGCACACTACGGTTCGCCCCGCTGTCTACCACGGATGCCAGTACGTTCCCTCTAGGCCCGTCATGTTCTGATGGGGTCCCTCACGTTTCTCACGTTCTGATGAAGGTCCGACATGTTTTTCACGTTCTGTCAAGGCTTTCCACGGTTAAAACGTGGACACCGGGCAGATTTGGAGCACGTTTGTGCCCTGGAAGGCCTCCCAAGCAAAAGCAATCATTATATCCTGAGACGAATCGACGAGATAACATCATGAATTCCCAAGCTGAAGAAGATTTTGTGTTTGCATATTTGCTGGGTACATACATCCAGTCTTTACGTCAGCAAGAAGAAGGCCAGCATCAATTACAGAGAGGGAAGGCCAGATTGGAGCAGGTAGCAAGAAGGCGGATGAGAAAACCAAGATCCATATGGGTGCAAAAATGGTTATCGGAAGACAGAAGGCAGCAGCTGGGCCACTACTCAACATTTCTCACCAGAGAGCTCCGCACCGAATATGTAAACGCCTTCCAGAACTATCAGAGGATGCCTCCAGAGCTCTTCGACGAGATCATGGAAAGAGTAATTCCAGCCATCGAGAGACAAGACACGAAGTTTCGTTCTGCCCTACCACCTGGACTGAGGCTGTCAGTGACTCTGAGGCATCTGGCCACTGGAGACAATTACTCGTCACTCTCCTATGCGTTCAGGTGCAGTAAAGCATCCATCTGCCATATGGTGCCAGAAGTGTGCAAGGCCATCGTGGAAGCCAACAAGGATGAAGTGTTCGCTGTTCCTGTGACGCCCGATGAGTGGAAAGCCCTTGCCCAGAAGTTTGAAGACAAGTGGAATTTGCCCCATGCGGTGGGAGCTCTGAACAGGAAGCATATTGCCATCAGCAAGCCACCCAACACAGGCTCCATGTACCACAACTACAAGGAGTTTTTCAGTATCCCTCTCCTCGCCTTGGTGGATGCCCAGTATCGTTTCATTTGGATTGAAGTTGGTGGAGTGGGACACATGTCTGATGCCCAAATCTATAATGACTCAGAGCTCAGTGAACTCCTTAAAGAAGGCCTGATAGGGTTGCCACCACCATACCCTCTTAACAACGATGAATAAAACCAGGACATCGCTTAGTTCATCCTAGGAGACGATGCATTTGCCTTAAGAACCTACCTGATGAAGCCGTATGGGAGAAGGGCGATGCCAAGAGAAAAACTCATCTTCAATTACCGGATTTCCCGTGGAAGACGTGTGGTGGAGAATGCGTTCGGGATCCTCGCCAAGCGCTTCAGATGCTTCCTTGGAACTTTGGAACAGGGACCAGACACAGGTTATTCTCATTATATTACTGCGACAGTGTTTTAATAAATACTTGTAATTATATGGTTAGTACATTTTTATTATATATGTAAAGCAAAAGTTTAATGATGGTTATTTGTAATGTACTGAATACAGATATTTTCTGCAGGTATGATAAAGAAATTTGAATTTTATTACAGTCCGACACATCATTGAGGCTACTGTCGTGCTCCACAACCTCCTGAGGAGAAGGGTTCCAGTCATGTCAGTGAACGAGGTGGACCATGCGGATGCGAAACATAATCTGGTCCCTGGCAATTAGAAAGATGAGGTCCAATGACAGGACGTGGACTCACCACCAGAAGGAAGGAACAGAGACACTCTGAACGCGAAGCAACAACGGGAGTACATTGAAAGGTACTTCAACTCCCCTGCTGGTGCTGTAGAGTGGCAGGACAGAATGATCACTCCCTAGTGAAAGAAACTTCACACCCACAATCTATCGAACAATAAACCCCATTCACTCACTCAAATTCTGTAGAAAAACCACTCTGGCCATGATACAATAAAAAACAAAACACATAAGTTTGCATTTATTTATTTGCTGAAAAATACAAAACATTTTCACTGGTCTTGTCTATTCTTGTTGTCGTCCTGTGACTGACGGATCTGACCCAGCAAGGAGGAGAAGGAGTCGGAGGCGAGCATCTGGCTGGACGAGATGTCGTGCAGTTCGGCAAATGACGTCGATTGCTGTGGCTGATTTCCAGTGATGGGCGGTGGACAGGTGATGTTCATCTGAGGAAACTGCTCCTGTACCCATGGTCGATCCATCGAGTACATGACATTGGGTGGGTTTGTCACCTCAGCAGGCCACTTGGAGGGGGTGGCTGCCAGTATCTTCCTACTTCTTGTCTTCTTCGGTGGCATATCTTGGCCTTCTTTTTTCACTGCTTGGTCTTCTCTCCTTGTATGGTAGATGCAGTAATCTACAATACAGTAATGTAATCTGCATTAATCTATCAGAGATGTTGTGTCGTCGATTGCTCAGACTCGAATGAAACTTCCCTGTCGGGCCCAGCTTTTATATACTCCCTCCCAGACCGCGCGCGCCGTGTCAGTCCGTAGTAGAACGCAACGCGCCGGGCCCCCAAACCGTCACACACCGGGACGCGCCGGATTGAACGCGACGAAAAAGCTACCATACACCCTAGCTTGCCGTGAGAACCGTGACAAAACGTGGCAAAACGGGACAAAACGCGAAGCAACCGTGAACCAACCGTGACAGAACGCGAACTAAACGCGAGAGAACTTGACAAAACTTGAAAGGACCGTGAGATGCCGGGAAATCACATGCTTCCCGTCCCACTACGGACCGCTACGGACCGCCCTACTACGGCCTATTACGTACTGTCACGTTTTGTTACGTTCACCCGGTTTTACTACGGCCTACTAGGTTTCTCATCCGCACCGTGACTAACATGGGAAATTTTTTGACAGTTAAATAATCTGGCCTGGCATCCACGTAAATCACTGCCTGTCACGTTGGCCCATCCCGTCCCCCCGCGTCATCTCACGTCCTTACCGTTTTGTCCACGTTGGCCTGAAACGTGATTGCCGTGGCCACCGGAAACAATTTAAACGTAGCATATTGCACATAGATCTGCTCTGTTACATATCCAGGTAAATTAGCAAAAAGGAATCTGATATAAGATGACTCGACTTGTAAGGATTTGCATTGCGATTTTTTGAAAATTAAAATGAAATTGTTACAAATATTTTGTCAACTAAAAATATATTTTATGATTTTAAAGTGAAATAATATAATCGTGCTAAGAGAAATAAATGAAGTTAAAAAATATCAAAATTTTAAATAAATTCAGTGTTAAGTTTGATCTGTTCTTTTGAAATGTCTAATGAACACTTAATTATCTCATTCAACCTTTTCGATTTCACCTCTTGACACACGAATCAGTTGATTATCGTATATCTGAAAGAAGTTGCACATAGTTATCATACAAAAGGACGGTTTTATATACTGGACATGTGTATGTCAATTATAAGATATTGAGGATATATTTTATTTCCTATCAAAATGTCTTTTTTATTGCAGATTTAAAAGAAAGGAAAAATAAAACTATTATGTTAGAAAAGAATTTTAAAAGAAATGTGTCGTCATTCGTCAGATACTGTCGTTGTATAGGAAGTTGAATTCATTTGAGAGAAGGAGGCGTTGGTGACATCGATATTGCCCAACCCCAACCCCACAAACTTTTGGAATTTTGATATGAATTCAATTGATATAAAATACACATAGCACATATATATAGACTTATAGCGTAATTTCAAATTGTTAAACACCAATCTATCAGAAAACATAGCCTTAATCCTGATATGTCGGAGTAATGATTCTCCCCGAGTGTTGGTTGAGATACATCTAATTATGGTGGCTGATTGGTGCCATTTTCGCTTTTTCACGGTCGAATATGCGAAAAAGGGATTTTTTTTACATGTATTTGGTATTAAATTTGGTATTAAAATTTCGCTTTTTCGCATTTTCAAGTGAGAAAAAGCGAAAATGGCACTAATCAGCCACCATATCTAATAGATCATTTCTCGAGTGCTGTTGGAAGGAGGGTGTCATTTTATTTCGAGAAATAATGTTAACCACTAAAACAGATACGTATATATTACGTCTCTGACTACAGCATCTAATACTCTTTACACAGCTTGTCCAAATAAACCAACTGTAGTCTGGTCGTGTGCCTGAAACAACAGGTAGTGACCTCGTGGTCTTTACCTTCGAAATAGCAAAAACCGCAGGTAACAGGGGTTATCCCACGTTTAACCAATAATAAAGGTAAGGCCAGTTAAAAGAAAAGACCAGATTATGGTTGAGATTAATCCACTTTTGTTAAGGATAGTGAAATCAGTGCTGTTTGTGCAATACACTATTCAAAATGACGGTCAAGAGAAAAGAAAAATCAATAGACAACACTCGGTAAATCTTATCTCGAAGCAAACAATATTTTTTACGCAATTGTTTTCTTATCGGTGAAGTATGGATGATTCTATGATAAGACAGTTTTGAAAATGTGTATGGGAACATAGCTTGAGATAAATTGATTTGAATTACCCTTCATATTTAATTTGTATAAAGCGATGTAATCTTCTTACAGTTTGGAAATATGATCTAACATGAAATGTTTATCTTACCTGTGACGGTACGAATTATTTGGATAAAGCTAACAATTACATATAATTAGCGTACATAGGCGCGAACACAAGTTTGAACACCCTCTGCAAAAATAAAATCACAATAAAGAAAGAAAAAAAACATCCACAAATCTTGCGTTATACATTTCAATGATTGAGTTATAAAATAAACCCACCCCACCACCACCACCACCACCACCACAAGACCGAAAGCAAAACCTACAAACATGATTTTTTTTCTTTGTTGAAATGTGAAAATTGTGACCTTGAAACTTTGTCATACTTAAGTCCATAAATAAATCAAGCAAATCCTGAAACCAACAAGGAGTTGTTAACACGCATTAAACGACAAATCACAATTCCATTAAAGTGTCACTTGCTGTTGTTCATTTCGTTATCAACATTATGATAATAAGGATTCAAGATTTTCTTCATTTTAAAATTATCAAAAAGTTCCTCTCGTTTTGATATTTTGTATGGCGGACTATGTCAAAGCGACAAGTTACACATGCAACTTTTTAATTTTATTTACTTTCTTAACACCGGTGGCTACATGTTTTCATTGTTTAGTTATTTTAAATCTTATTAAATGCTGTCATGTTGTTTTAAATTCTTTTTGCTTTCTTCAATCATCTACTATCCGCGATATTTGCAGTGCTTGTACTGTCTGTTGTCCCACCTAATAAAAAGAATGACGATGTAGGTCGAACCTCGGATTCGTCGAATACCATATATTCCTATTTACTGTACTGTTTTACCGCTTCGGTCCAAAAATACGAAAATGTATAAGTAAAGAAACGTTTACAAAAATATTTCAACGTTTGTGTCTGCTATATTTTAAATTGCAATACAATGTATGGCATCTTTTAAATATGTTCAACATACCTACCAAATTGACTATATTGTGACTTTCTTATGATAGGTCGACGAATGAACAACATATAACCGACGAACAGTTACACGTTTAATTTTATGCAACTTTCGCATGCTGCGCTACTTTTTGTTTATATCGAGAATATAATTGAATAATGAGATTAAAGATAAACCCTTTTCTTCATCATAAGTTGTAACATCTTGGTTCAATAATGAAAGTCATCTCGATCTACTCTCTTAGCTTACTAAGGTTTTAAATTTGTGAACAGTATTACCTAGTAATAAGGTAAATCAATGTCGAGCTGACAACAAAAGCTAAATAAGTAATGAGTTTAAAGTGTTAGAGTTTTAATATCTTTTTAGATAAAAAATTACATATATCCGGAGTGAAAAAAGTCCATTGCAAAAAGTGTGATACTAATGTAGCGGGTGGTTTCACAAACCAAGAGCACTGACAAACATTGTTCAATATTCCTTTATATGTATAGGTAGATACATTCACTCTGTAAACCAACACAAGATACTACATTTAGCACAACGCTTCACAAGTACAATACAAACACATAATAAAGCGACATAACTCTTACAAATGAATTACTGCCTACTACTTTATACTGTTACAATTATACAGCATACATGCCAATAACTTTATAAATATTTTACAAGTTTTTACAAATAGTTACATTGTTATCTACTGAACCACTTAATCCTAAAAGAAAAAAAGGAAAGAAAGGGATAAACCTAACCTTAACAACTAAAGCTAGAATACATTTTTTGATGGGAATATAAACTATTTGAAATGGACATATGTCACGCACCTGTGTATTGCACAGAGCCAGGATGAAACCGATGTCATCAAATCACTTATCGCTGATCATGAATGTTTCAATCTATAAACAAAGTAAAACCATTCTCAACCAATGGTAAATTTGAATACATAGATATACACTTTAGTACACATTATTGTTCTATCAAGTGTAATAGTGTTTATGAGGACTCAAACATGAAATACACTAAACACATTTAATGATTATTTAGAAATTAACGACATGTTTAGGTTTAATTGAACCCTAGCCCAATTACTTAAGTGTGGAGAAATTATTGATATTAGAAAATAGAGAAAACTTATAGTCAAAAAAAGTGTGTGTGTACAATTCAATATGTCTGCTGTGTCTCACAAAATCTTCTGCAAAACTGACACAAAGAAATCCCGCCAAAAGTGTCCAATGAATGACTGACCAATTAAAATGAAATCTATACAAAATATCTGACCATTGAAAATAGAATGATAAACAATAACACACTGGACCATGATATATCATACAGGTAAACACAGTAAAACATCAAGATAAAGATCACACCACAGGACATGTACGTCATAATATCAACACATACAAATAACATGCGTGGCACAACATTGAACATAACACAGAATATTTAATTAATATAAAATACAATAAAATATGACTGCTAAATTTTTCCCTCCTGCGAAAAATGTCGTCCTCGACTAGGAGATTTACTGTAGCAGTAACAATTAGCAAGTCTTGTACTATCAATTATACAATAGATGGAAATATCTACATACATATATGGACTTGGTAAAAATGTAAAACAAATATTTAGTACAAATCTAAGAGTAACCGTCCATAATATGGAAGTACAATGTCTAGGTTACATTTTTTGATAACTTTTGAATCTCATTAGGACCGGAGGACTTATTTAAAATCAGATGCACTTAAATATGGACGAACTTATAAAATCATATCAGTAGATAACTTTCATCAGAAGCTTGTTAATATGAACCATGGTAAACCACAACATCTGTACAATATTCCTTTTTAAGATAAAGAGCACAGTGCTATGACCTCGGAACAGAACTTTACGAATTACAAACAGCAGGGGCCTTGTTGGACGAGATTATAAAATTTGTGAACAACTTTAAATTGGGACAACTTACGAAAGACTCACCCTCAGGATAGTCAGTGACACGTTACAGTCGACAATGTCTCTCTACTTCACGGCTGAAAGATTGAATTTCAGAACCATTAGCAACATATAAAATTGCCCTCCATGGAGCGTCAGAAGTACGTTTAATCTGCAATCTGGCCTTCCTTGGATACATCCACCCGGAGTCTGACACCATCAGTGCCGTTAAAGAATTCGCATGGTATCGAACCAAAGACGGCTAGTCATTCTAAGTCAGTTCTTAAACTGAATTAAGTGTAACTGAAAAGTCGCTCGGTGAAAAAGAAGTCATTATTTCAGCGATTTCATAACATCTCCGGACATTGATATAATGGCAAAGCAGATACCTGATTAGTTTCACATATTGATGACCAAGTACTACATGTAGATGGGCCGCGGTGGCTAAGTGGTTAAGGCGTCTATCATTCTACTGCCACTAGCCCGCTGGGTCACGGATTCGAGACCTACGTTGGGCAGTCACCAGGTACTGGCCGTAGGTCGATGGTTTTTCTCCGGGGACTCCGGCTTTCCTTCACCACAAAACTCTCGCACGTTCTTACATGGCTATAGCTAGGGCTTAAAAACACAAACAAACCAGAACCAAAAACTAGATGCTTTGTCTACTATACCAACAGACTTGAAATCCTCCACGCTGATAGGTGATGTAGCGAAGTGCCTGTCTAGTTTAAGAAAGGGCGAAGTGTGTCAAATCTCATTTTCAACCAAGATGATGCTTTACACACTTCGAACACATGATTTGATTTGTCTCCTGTAGACGATTAAGATTGTATGTCATGTGGTTGATACACTTAATTGCGTTACAGAAAAGTTTGCTGCAAAATGTTTGGATCAAATATTGGTTCAACCTTAACCAAGAATAGCAATAAAAGCAATGTCAACACTAACTAGTAGATAACACACAGATAACGTACATGTTTGGATCAAATATTGGTTCAACCTTAACCAAGAATAGCAATAAAAGCAATGTCAACACTAACTAGTAGATAAAACACAGATAACGTACATCTGTCCTTGGCTTACAACAGATATCATTCTGAGAACAAACCGGAGAATGCAAGCTGCTTCATTGCTAGCAGAAATATGCGACATGTCAAGCAAATGATTTAATATTTTACCTTACATATCCGTAAACTGTGCATTCAATTAATGCGTGTCTTCAAATGTTACTTCAATAAGAGTTAGTCGCTAAAAAGGAGGTGGTCACTGCATAAAGCAGGGGCTGCAATCGCACTATGGCTAGTAAGAATACATTAATTAGGTGCGTGCTTGTTTTAGCTTTATTTACATGTTTTGTTTGGACGCATTGAGCGGTTCTGGTTGAACGTAGGTCAAACATAGGCTAAATCCAAACCCCATATGTGAGTCAAAACCTTTCGCCATATGTATCACTAAATGTATTTGCACATGGCAATACATTGCCATCAGATTGCCGGGAACTTGCTGCAGAAGTAGATCATCTAGTCTAGTTTTAAAACACTTAGGAAACGCCAATTTCCATATCATCTATAAAGGGAACACCGCCCACTTTTAAATGTGTCAAATAACCAATCTGTATTAAAAGTCAGACATTTTGGGCTACAATTTTAACATATCATTTAAAAGTACATTACACTCTATACCGATTCACTTACTAACTTTGCATTGTGCAAGAAAATATGCATTTTTTGGTATGCATTTATTAATTAACAGCAAACAATACAAATATATTAAAGAAAATTAAATGCTTATGTGAAGCGGGTAAGAAATAATAAGACATAGCGGCCGACTTCAAACCTAGCAGCTTTCACCCTTCACAGGGCTATTCAGGTTTAATCCAAAAGGACATCGGCATGACGTCACGATTTCATGTCATCACACTACAATGTTAATGTGACGTTACAATGTACACAAGATTGGTGGACAATCAAGTTTTACTGTTTCCTGTTGAGATTAGATTTTACTATTTTAATGAATTTATCTTTCTTTTCTCGTATGTCGGATGAATATAGCTGATACAAGTAATACACTGAATGTATCATCGATACATTCGTCAATGCGATTATAAACATAACAATTTCGTAACGAGGCGGATTAAGTTTGGTGTCAATGTAAACTCATGCGTTTTTTAAAGACAAAAGTACTCCATTAGATAGTCATTGAACATGTACTGCAACATGGTGTCGTACACTTAGATGCTGCTGGAGTTAAACAAGAATTATCAAAATGTTAACTTGACTTGTTCTAAGTTTTCGATTGTCAAACATGACCGTACAAACAAAATTCATCCAGAAAACTTTAAACTTTTCCCACACATAATCAGTTAAAAAACTTCTTTTTTTTTCAATTTAACATAGACGCTATCAAAACTTTATATTGGAAATAAAATTCTACAATTTGAACAATATAAAACAGTGTTCAATAAAAGGAACGTTAAGTTAGTGTGTGCCGAATGATGCTCTAAGACATGATACACGATAAAATACGGTTAACAAATATTTACGGCCCTGGTATAAGATAAGGGTATCTATGGGACCATTATATCCAACAACGATAAATATATTCTAGACTATATTTGTAACTTACTATCAAACATTTACATTCTTTGTATTGCATCAATGTATACTGATATTACTCGTTTGTACTACAATGGTCATTCAATCAATTCTTTCACCACATAGCTCCCATGCGAACGGACAATGAAATAGTAAAGCACCTTAGCAGATTGCAAAAGGATTAAAAGATAAAAAATAACATACATTCGGAGTGAAAAAAGTCCATCGCAAAAAGTGTGATAATAATGTAGCGGGGTGGTTTCACAAACAACCAAGAGCACTGACAAACATTGTTCAATATTCCTTTATATGTATAGGTAGATACATTCACTCTGTAAACCAACACAAGATACTACATTTAGCACAACGCTTCACAAGTACAATACAAACACATAATAAAGCGACATAACTCTTACAAATGAATTACTGCCTACTACTTTATACTGTTACAATTATACAGCAAACATGACAATAACTTTATAAATATTTTACAATTATCATTTGTCAATTATATATCTTTACAAATAGTTACATAGTTATCTGCTGAACCACTTAATCCTAAAGAAAATGTTAAACTTAACCTTAACAACTAAAGCTAGAATATAGTTGTCATGGGATAATAAACTATTTGATATGTACATATGTCACGCACCTGTGTATTGCACAGGGCCAGGATGAAACCAATGTCATCAAATCCCATATCACTGATCATGAATGTTTCAATCTATAAACAAAGTAAAACCATTCTCTTAAAAATGGTAAATGTGAAAACATAGTACACATAAATGTTCTATCTAGTGTAATAGCGTTCATGCGGATTCAAACTTGAACTACACTAAATATAAGAACCACAAATTACTTGGTCAATTCTTTAAACCTCACATAATTATAAATACATTCCATTTAACTATTATTTAGAAATTACCTACATATTTAGATTTAATGGAAAAAGTGTCCAATAAATCACTGACCAATTTAAATAGAAATCTATACAAAATATCCGACCAATGAAAATAGAATATAAACAATAACACACTGGACCTTACAGAACCACTCCATGGGATACTATACAGGTAAACACTGATGAACATCACAGGTAAAGCTCACACCACAGGACATGTACGTCATAATATCAACACCCTCAAATAACATACTGGGCACAACATTGAACATAACACAGAATATTTAATTAATAAAAAAAATACAATAAAATATGACTTTGCTACATTTTTCCCTCCTGCGAAAAATGACGTCCTTGACAAGAAGATATACTGTAGCAGTAACAATTAGCAAGTCTTGTACTATCAATTATACCATAGATGGACATATAATATACGACATATATATATGGACTTGGTAAAAATGTAAAACAAATATTTAGTACAAATCTGAAAGTAACAGTCGATAATATGGAAATACAATGTCTAGGTAACCTTGCCCCATAAAATACTAATAAGGAAATTAGCCACATTTTTTTCCATCTTGTTCGAATTCCTGCAAAGTTCCTCTGTCAATCAACACTTTTAGGAACTTTGCTCGTAATTTCAAATCAGGATATTGCTGCTGTTGCTGCTGCATCATAGAAACTTGTCCTTTCCGCATCCATAAAGGTTTCACCATTTTGCCATTTGTAACCATATGTATCCACAAGCTACCGGGTACAGTCATTTCTTACTACTGATCACCATGGGTCAGTGACCATTTATCCAACGAAAGAACCCTCAACACCTACAGTTGGTAATGACATTTATTAGAAAAGGGAAAACAGTATTGGTCTAACTACAGATCCCTTAGGTAGACCTGCATATCTAACTCTTATCTGTGAATAATGGCCTTATTACTCACTGTTTGCATTCTACCAGTTGTATCTAATAACATCATAAAGGTTATTTGAAGAGAGGTATTCAATCTTTTGATAACTTTTGAATCATTAGGACCGGAGGACTTATATAAAAGCAGATGCACTTAAATATGGACGAACTTATAAAATCATGTCAGTAGATAACTGTCATCAGAAGCTAGTTAATATGAAGCATGGTAAACCACCTTTCTGAACAATATTCTTTTTCATGACAAAGGGCACAGTGTTACGATCTTGAAAAAGAACGTTACAAATTATGAACAGCAGGGGCCTTGTTGTGCGAGATAATATCATTTGTGAACAACTTTTAATTGGGACAACTTAAAAAAGAAGCACCCTCATGAGAGTCATTGACACGTTACAGTCGACAACGTCTCTCTACTTCACGGCTGAAAGACTGAATTACAGAATCATAAGCAGCAAACAATCGCCCTCCATAGAGCGTAAGAAGTACGTTTAATCTGAAATCTGACCTTCCTTGGATAGAACTTCACTAAACCACGACCGGCGACAGGAAACCCTTCCGGATGGAGATTTCAAAGTCGTATTAGAATGATGAGTGTTGTTGTGTAACAAATATAACAACACAAATTGTGACGTCACAATGCAGCTATACAATAATGACTTGAACCTTGTAAGATC